TTATATATAAATAAACTACTACTTACTACTTGTACTACTATTCTTTATTTGGGGTTTTTCACTGATCGCGGGGCTTCAGGGTACGGATCCCTCGCGATAAGCAAGGGACTGCTGTATTGTGCAAAATCACATTAAAAAATTACTTAATTTTATACCAATCTGTAACTTCACTACTAGATGTCACTAAATGATACTTACTCCTTTAAATACTTCAGTTCTGCTTAAAATTACATCATATCTGGGAAAGTTATTGACAATTTTTTGTGGTGTTTGTAATTTTTTGTTGGTTTCGTGTGATGCCGGAATGTATTTTCCTGTGTACGTGTCCGAGTAGCTGATGTTTATTTGTTTTCTTTTCCAGTGCAATGTGCCGTGTGGGGATGGATCCCAGAGACGGGACATCATTTGCGTGAAGAAGCTGGGAAATAACTTCACTGTGACGTCAGACGCTGCGTGCGCTCACCTGGAGAAGCCTGCGGCGGTGCAGGAGTGCCAGATGGGCGAGTGTCAGCCTCAGTGGTTCACGACGGAGTGGAGTGCGGTGAGAGAGACGGGAAATGAACAAAACCTGCAGCACGCTGCTTACCACCGTGTTTAAACACTGTTCTTTTGTTCTCAGTGTTCACGTTCGTGCGGGAAGGGCTTACAGGTGAGAGAAGTCCGATGTCTGACGCCTGACAAAAAGCACAGCCAAGCCTGTGATCTCGGCGCCAAACCTGAACAAGAACAAATCTGCAACACGATCCCCTGTGGTCCACAAGTCGCAGGTGTGTGTGTTAATGCATTAATGTGTGTGTTTTATTACTAACTCACTCCGCTCTAACCTGAGCCTCTTTGTTGGCAGATAAAAACTGCAGAGATAGACGAGACAACTGTTTGATGGTGGTGCAGGCCCGAATGTGCGTCTACTCCTACTACAAGACAGCCTGCTGCGCCTCCTGCACACACAGCGCCCAACGCGCCAAGAGGCACTGAGCAGGCCCAAGTGACCCGTCACCATCTGGGAGGACGAGTCTGAAGAAACGGACGCCTCAGATTCCACATTCAGATCAAATGTAGCTATGTTTTTCCTCCCCCCCACTGACTTTTCAGGTAAAACACTGTGAGAGCAGCTGCTTCCTTCTGCCATAAAGTCGTCATATAATCGGTAACCTCCTCATCTGTGTGCATTGTTCACGGTGCTGGCGTTTTCCACTCCTGGAGGCTCATCCCTGTGCCTGTTAGGTTGTAGTGGAAGGTGCTCACAGATGTACGTTCAAACCCCTCCTAATGTAAGCAGATGGATCAAACACGGTCACGTTGCCAGATAAACGGGATAAGGTGTATCGACGGGCTGTGACCCCAGCCAGGCTAGAAGGATTTTATTTACGTGTGCTCTCCTGTTTGCCAAAAATATGTCCTCTAGTGTCTTTTTTTTATTCAGTACTTTGACAAACTGAACCAAAAGGGGAGTTAGGGTTCGGGGGGTGGGGGGTGGGACTGTAAGTGACCAAATAAAAGCAGAGTTGAGATTCTTCCCTTAGAAGGGATAAATGATGCTGATGTTAAACAGCAGACTCTACCCGGACAGTAAAGTGTCTTTAAAATGTTTCTTAACGTTTAGTTTCATTTTTCTACTAAGGATAAAGAAGTGTTGCAAAAAATGGCGTAGATGTGAAAAGTGTGCACCCTTTGTATGAACTCATGCCACAAAAAAAGCAACATTTCTCAAGTACGTAGTTTAAAATGTTGAAACTTCTAATCAAAGTAAATTAGCGCCACCTACAGGTGGATTCTGATTAATTTAAAATCAAGTCGAGTGATAAAATTGTTCTATGTCATATAGGCTTCGCCCTTTAAGGCTGTCGCTGATGGGTTTATCCCGTTATGCGCAAGCATCATACTGAAAAAATTAGTCCACGCCCACCTGCTGTGTGGGCCCCACCCGATCCGTATAAATTACGTTAAGAGCGGGTAATCTGCTCCCAGTTTTTCTTCAGCAAGCATAATAAATCAAGAATAAACTGACCTTTTTCGTCGAGATGTCCAGCTCCAGCACCATCCGTTTGTGTCCCTCGTGCAAGACCGGCTACTTGCTTAGCTTCGACCGGCACGACACCTGCGAGGGATGCCTGGGTCCCCGCCACGTCGCTCGCGCTTCCTCCTGCCGCCTCTGTGACGAGCTTCCACCGGAGGAAAGGCAGAGGAGAGCAGCCTTGTTTAAGGCTACCATCGAGGACTGCCTGTCCGTGGCGGGAGACTGTTCGCTGGACGACGCCATGGATTTCTTCGACGCCGGCTCTCGGAGTGAATCGGATGATTCCTCTGGGACCGGTGACGCTAGCAGCAGCCCCGACGCTCGTTCCCTCCCGGGGAGCGGAGTGTTGGAAAGAGGGAGGCCGAGCGGATGCTCGACTCCCCCGGGGTTTCCCGCCTCAGCGACCACATCGCTCCCTGCCGTGGGCGCGCTCCTCTCGGAGCTGCCCGCCATTATCCGGGAGGCTGCTAGCGTTAAGGGGCTCTCCGTCCCCTCACCCCCCCCCCGCTCAGATCGGATGATCTTGCGGGAAGGTTTGGCTCCACGCCGGCTCGCCGTCCTGATCCCATTTGGCCTCGTTTTCCTGCGGTGACAGCGTACTGGAACGAGGCCGCAGCCGGTCCTGGTAGGTTAAGGGCGCCCGTCTCCACTTACGCCCCCATCACCAGAGTGGAGGGGTTCACCGAGCGGGGCTTTCCCTCGGTACCCCCCCTTGAGCCAAGCCTCGCGGAAGCCTTCGGAGCGAAGATGTCCAGGCTGGAGAAGCGTCCCGTCCCTCCGGGGAAACACGACCAGGTGGCGACCGCGCTCTCCAACAGAGCCCACCAGTGTGCTTTTCAGGCGGCCGCGGCTAACAACAACGTGGCGCTGTTAGCATTTAGCATGTCGAAGAGGCTAGAGGCCTCAGGCCTGCCGGAGGAGACGAAGAGCTCCCTGTGTAAATCGGCAGACGCCGTCCTCAACATGTGCGCCGCTTCCACGGTTTGCCTGTCGAGGATTGCTTCATGGATGACGGTAATCCAACGCTCCATCTGGCTCCGTCACTCCCCATTGCTGCCGGAAAAGCTGCACAAGGACCTCATGGAGGGCCCCATCTCATCGGACGCGCTGTTCGGAAGCAGCTTGAAGACCATGCTGGCGAATTCCAAGCAGTCGGAGGAGATGTCGGAAGCGGTACGTCATCTCATCAAGCCGCGCGGCCCATCCCGTCCCCCAGCTCGCTGGAAGGATCGTCGAGAGCAGAGGCAGAAGCACCGACGCTCCACGGCAGCAGCAGCTTCGTCTCGCCCAGCTCCACCACCAGCCCCGCCCGCCAGAGACCACCCCTCCTCAGCCCGGCAGCCTGCACTCCAGCGCTTCCCCAGAGATCGCCTGCAGACGGCGCTCGGGTCAAACAAACCGCAGAGCTCACGAGGGAGAAGGTTTAAGAAATGACGGTCTGCGGGGGATGTGTGTATGAACGAAACAGGAAGTGAAATAAATGATTTTTCAAAAATCAGAATGCCTGTTTTTAGCCAGTCTGTAAGTTCGGATGAGCTCACAGCCGCTACACACACATCCTCCACACAGAGAGAGCCGGTGGCCTTAAATAAAGGTTTTTTAAACCCACCGCCGCTCCTTCACATGCCCAGACGCTCACGTGACACCACGGTAAGCGAAATATCTTGTTGTCAAACAGAACCGCACGATCACCACTCAAACGGTGTTAAACGCGCACCCGAGCAAAAAAAGCAGCGTCCATCCAAACGGCACTGTGCCGATGATGCACACACAGCTGCCCGGCGCTCACCGGCTCACATCGGGATAAATGTGGGACCGCAGGCCGGGTCCGGTGGAGGTCCCCGCTCTCAGCAAAAACAACACACGTTTTCCCTGAATAAACGCGAACAGCCGTCATCCATCGCGCCTCTGCGACCAGCAGCTCACGGCGACATAAGCGTGAGACAGCTGACTGAATCCAATGACGGGCCCCGCCCTCAGCGAGAGCGGCGCGCGTCCCTCCAGAGAAAACGTGCGCTCCCGCGAAGTTCACAACCTTCACTTCGACAGCACGGCGTTGACGACGTCACACCCTCCACCTCTCAACGTTCGCACAGCGACGTTAAACGTGCAGCCTCTGGACGTCACCAGCTGACACACGCCTCGCCTCAGCGCACACCGCCCCGCCCGGACATGAAGGTTGGTCCGCGATCCAGTCACAGCGCACGGGCGCGCGCAGAACAGCCCTTTCGAGAAAGCCTCGCCTTGGGTCACGCGGAAAACATTTCCGCGACGCATGACGGCGGTCGAGGCGGAGGTTTGGATGGCATCCGTTCAAAACACGGCACATCATTTAAACGCACGTCCACTCCACGAACGTCACGCAGAGTGGTTAAAAACATGCTCACCGGACAGATGGATGGACAGAGTGTTATGCAAGGGTTACACGCTGCAGTTTGCAACCCGACCCCCTCCGTTCGGAGGAGTTATAGAGACGGTCCTGTCATCACCAGACCAAGTCTCAGCCTTAAATGCAGAAGTCCAAGAGCTTCTGATAAAAGGTGTAATCTCAAGAGTTCCCAACGAGGAGGAAAACACAGGGTTTTACTCACGCTACTTCCTGGTCCCCAAAAGGACCGGAGGGATGAGACCGATTCTGGATCTGTCAGCTTTCAACAAAGCGATCATGAACAGACCCTTTCACATGTTGACGAACAGACAGCTGTTGGACAACATCCAGAAAAACGACTGGTTTGTTTCCATCGATCTAAAAGATGCTTATTTTCACATACCAATCATCCCAAAACACAGAAAATTTCTGCGTTTCGCCTTTCAAGGGATGAAGTACCAGTACAACAGGCTGCCTTTCGGGTACTCCCTCGCGCCTCGTACGTTCTCAAAGTGTGTGGAGACAGCCCTGCATCCACTGCACAGAGCAGGGATGAGAGTTTTGTTTTACCTGGACGACCTGCTGCTCCTGTCTCACTCCAGACAGGAAGCATTGATACAGGCTCAGGTGTTGACGTCACATCTGCTAAATCTGGGTTTCGCCATAAATTGGAAGAAAAGCTCGATTCTCCCGGCCCAGACAATTGTTTATCTGGGAGTGGAATTAAATTCAATTACCATGACGGCTCGCTTATCACAAACAAGAATCGACACTCTAAAAAACCAATTACGCCACGTAAGACCTGGCAAAGTGGTAACAGCTGTCTCCGTCATGAAGCTGTTGGGAATGATGTCATCAGCTCACACAGTGGTCCCGCTGGGTTTGTTACACATGAGGCGCCTCCAGAGGTGGTTTACGCGTCTGCGTGTGGATCCAGTAAAACAAAAGAGACGGATGATCACTGTCCCTCCCTCCGTGAGAGCAGACCTCCGACATTGGGGAAACACCCTGGCTCTGTCAGAGGGAGTCCCCGTCAGCAGACCCACGTCACATGTGTCTGTCTTCACGGACGCGTCTCTGTCAGGTTGGGGGGGGACATGCCTATCTCAAGCAGTAGGGGCGCTGTGGCCCCACCGCACATCAGCCCACATCAATGTTTTGGAGTGTCGCACAGTGCTGAATGTGATTCAGCATTTTGCTCCCGTGCTACAGAATCAACACGTGTTGATTCACACAGACAACATGGTGACTGCTGCGTACATAAACCGCCAGGGGGGTGTGCGTTCAGCCCAGATGTTACACATTGCACGGAAGCTACTGTGTTGGGCTCACCAAAATCTGCTTTCCATCAGAGCGGTTTACATACCCGGCGTTCTGAACAGAGGAGCAGACGTGATGTCCAGGGGCGGTCCACGTCACGCGGACTGGACCCTCCATCCAGACCTGATGTTTCAGACGTGGCAGAAGTTTGGCAAAGCAGCTGTGGACCTGTTTGCGACGCGAGAGAACGCTCAGTGTCAGTTATGGTTTTCCCTGAGCCCTCGAGACGATCCACCGCTGGGGGTGGATGCATTTGCCCACAGCCCGTGGCCCAAAACGCTTCTGTACGCGTTCCCTCCTCCTCCTCTGATTTTACGGTTCCTGAACCGAGTTCAGGAGGAGGGACTGACAGCTCTCCTGGTAGCTCCCGAGCGCGTGAACGCACCATGGTTCCCGGTCCTGCAGCGTCTGTTGTCAGGTCGCCCGTGGAAACTACCATGGAGGGAAGATGCTCTCCTTCAAGCAGGAGGAGCGATCAGGAGTTACCCGGAAATAGGCCAGCACCTGTGGGTCTGGCCGCTGAGCGGTCCCGCTTAGAGAGGATGGGTCTCCCTCAGGAGGTAGTGCGCACAATTCAAGATTCACGTGCTGCATCTACCACAGCCCTGTACACATCAAAGTGGACGGCTTTTCAGCGTTGGT